CCAGAGACCAGAACAGGGAGAGCCTGGGAGGTTCACACCCCACTCCTTCAAATCTCCAGTATACGATTACTAAACAAGAGTAGGGGATGGGGCCTCATAGGCGCAGAGGGAAGGCAACTAGCTTAGCTGCACGTGCGGCCCTGTTACGAACACTAGACTAGGACTTTTATGTGATGGCGTCATCGGATGTCCCCGAGAAGTTAGTTATGATTATTACCTGCATTTTACAGAAGAGGAAAACAAGGTTCAGAGAGGTTGATGACACTTGCCCAAGTTACCCAGATGGTGAGTGGCAGAGCAGGGGTTTGAGATTCAAACCAGGCCTGTGTGACTTCCTGGCTGCCTACCAAGAGCAGGAATTTCTTTAACATCTAGAAGGGCAAGAGGGTGAGAGGGGGGACAAGAGCTGGAGGGGCAGCAAATGGGTCCTACCTGAGACTTGAGAATCACCAGACCCTGCAAAGCCCAGGTTAAGCGGATACCACCTGGCTTCTGTTCTGAGAACTGAACATCCTGTGGCTGCTTCACCAGGGTGATCCCGGTTCCACTCTAGGGTACTGGGAGTGGGTGAAGCCCCCATAGAATGGAGGCTTTCCTTCCAGCAGTGTCCTTCCACGCCGTTCTGGCTCTGGGCTTTGTAGTGGTGGTGTCACGCATAGCGTGCTTTCATCCTCCTTGGGTCTTGAGTTTACTTCCTTCACCTCTCTCGTCATCGTTTCCAAAGTTGTACCCCGTGGACACTGCACCCCGCCAGCATTTCTGGACGTTCCGGCGGTTCTGGGTCATTTGGAAACGTCCGGGCACGTTAAGGGGGACTGCCGGCGCCACCAAGGTCTGGGCATCTTTGGGGCCCTTCGCCAAGCCCCTTCCCTCGCTCTCCCGGCGCTCCCGGCTACGCGCCGCAGCGCCCCCTCAGCCGCCAGGGGCCGCCGGGAAGCGGGGCTCCTCGAGCGCGGGGCGGGGCAAGGGGCGGGGCGCGGCGGTACCTGGGCCGCCGGGGAGCCGGGGGTGGGCTCTTCTGGGACAGCCGGCGGCCCCCCCAGATTCGCACCGCCAGCCGCCGGGGAGCTCGGGGCTCCAGGCGTAGAGGCTGCGCTGTCACATGGGCGGCGGCGACGGGGCCGCATTTAAGCGGCCGGGGGACGGCGCCCGCCTCCAGCGCGTCCTCGGGCTCGGCTCCCGCCGGGCGCCCCGCTCTCTGCCCGCCGGGGGCCCAGCGCCGCGCCGCACCGCGCCGCCCCCGCCGGGCCATGCGAGCGCGGGCCCCGCCGCGATGAGCTCGCACATCGCTAAAAGCGAGTCCAAGACGTCGCTGCTGAAGGCGGCGGCGGCGAGCGGGGCCAGCCGGGCTCCCCGCCACGGCCCTGCCCGGGAGCCAGTGCTGTCCAGCCGCCGGCTGCCCGGCCCCTGCCCGGGCACGCCGCCGCCGTCCGGGGACCCCAGTTCGCGGAGGCCCCTGTGCCGGCCGGCGCCGCGAGAGGAGGGCGCGCGGGGGAGCCGGCGCGGGCTCCCCCAGGCGCACTGCAGGCCCCGGGAGGCGCCGCCGGCCGCGGCGTCCCGACCTTCGCCGCCGTCGCCGCTGCCGCCGGCCCGCGGGCGGGATGGGGAGGAACGGGGGCTGTCCCCGGCGCTCGGCCTCCGGGGCTCTCTGCGAGCCCCGGGTCGCGGGGACTCAGCTCCAGCCGCCGCGTCCGAGGCAGACCCGTTCCTCCACCAGCTGCGCCCCATGCTCAGCTCCGCCTTCGGCCAGGTAAGGGCCGCGCCTCCCGCCCGCTCCCTGGAGAGGCGCTCGGGACCCTGCCGCGGCTGCGCGCCCACAGCCCTCCTCCCGCTGCCCGCGGGTCCCCTGGTCACGCTCCTCTGGTCCTCCCGCCGCCCGGCGCCCTAGCCCGCGCGCCTCTTTCCCCGTGCCTGATTCAGCACCCTGTGCGCTGTCCACGCTCCGGGCGTCTTCAGGGCGAGGCCCCACCGCCTAGCCTCCCTCCACTTGCCGGAATGGGCCAGTCCTGGACGGGGAGCGACCTCCACAAACCGCCTGGAAATTTGCAGGGGTCAAGGAGGGGTGCTCTGAGCAGGTGGCACCAAACCCACTCCTCCGGCCTCTGGCCAAGACGACCAATGAGCGACCCAAGAGACCAATGGGCATGGAGTCTGGGGATCAAGAGTGGGGACCTCGGGGTACACAGCCTTGTTTGGGGATGAGGGACCCTAGCCATTGCCTGTGGTGGCCCCAAAGACCTGGGAAAAGTTAGGAAAGGTAAAAATATGAGAAAAGAGGAGTGTCTGGGTAGTCATGGAGGGATGTACAGAGCTATGGCTCAGACTGGAACTTCGGGGATATTTTAAGGAGGTTGTCATCTAGGGATGCCATTAAGACGGTAGTGGGCAGTTGTCGAGTTGTGGGACATGGAATAACACCTAGAGACCCCTAGTCTGAGTTAGTGTGTATTCTAGGATCAGAAAGGTCACTAAGGGGTCATGAGTGGCTCGTTTTGTTTCTTTTCTCTCAAGAACCCCAAGCAGCTGGGCATCTGCCCTTTAAAAATGGCCCCGTGGTCATAATCCAGGTCTACAGTTAGGGGCTGTGCTGCTGGGGAGAGAGGCTCAGCAGAAAGGAACCTGTGAACTCCTGAGCAAAGCCAGGATTTCCTCTAGTTCTGAGTCCATAATTAAGTCAAACTCGTTGGCACAGCATGGACACAGTTCTGCAGCAGCCGAGGAGGGGTGTAACACAGGTCTGATCAGAGTGTCGCGTGCTGTGTGGGCGAAGGTGGGGCCTGTGCGTTTCTGTGCTAGGATATAGCGTAAAGAAGCCGTTTCAAGCTCCTGGCTTGCCATGCTGCCTAGAGCCCATGCTCTAAGGAGGCCGTGCGTGTTTTGTTTCAGATCTGCACATTCCTTTTCAAAATACTACTCTGCAGTGGCTGATGCCGGTGGAGGCATGAAGGCAGCTGACATGAAGGCAGCTGCACGTAGACTCGGGTTGCACGGGGCTGTTGTGGTGGCGTGATAGGGCAGCTGTGTGGCTTTGTTCCTGCCAGGAGCCCTCATTAGCCAAGTTATCTGGAAACGGTTCTCCAGAGTAGAGATTTGAATGCAGAGCTGTGAAAGTTAGTGCAGTGATATGTTGAAGAGTTGACTGCAGTGGCTTCTGTATTAGTGAGGGGGTGTCAGGTGTTAGGGCAGGAGTGGTCTGGATTGCAAAAGGGACACTGTGTCGTTGAATTGGTGACAACTATTTATCCATTTATCAAATATATTTTGATCGCCTACTTTGCCCAGGCGTTTGCTGGGCACTATGGAGACGAAAGTGGACAGGATAGCCAGGGTTCTGGCTACTTTGGAGCTTACAATCTAGCAGTTTGGAAGGGTAGGTCATTGGCCCAGGATCACACACTCTCTGGTTATTTAGTTTGCTGGTGATCTGACTTTGTTTCTGGAAAAAGGGCCCTTTCTTTGCAGTCTTGCAGGAGTTGCCTGCCTGGGCCCTTTGTGAGCTCAGAGCATTTCAGCTCATGTGCTTTTCTGCTTCTACTTCCTCAGTCATAAAATGAAGGCTGTTTTCCAGTTCCATGTTCTGAAATGTCACCAGGGTCACCTGAGTCAGGAAGAACTGGAAGGCCCCATCAAATATTTACTACCTCCCTCTGGAAGCTCTTGCCCCTGGAGCTGCAGGCTTTCTCTTTAAAGCTGGGCACACCCCGTCTGGCCTTCCTGCTGACGGCTCTAAGGCATCTGCTCCAGCAACAGCAACAGCAACAAAACCCGGCCTGGGACTTTGCGTCAGTCTCCAGTCTCCTGCAAGAATTAGGCTTTCGTCCCTTCTCTTTGCATTGAGATTTCTGTCCTTAGAGACAGGGTCAGGACCAAGAGAAGGGAAATGAGATTCTGAATATAGAAACTTTCCGATAGGATCTGCTTTGGGCAAAATATAGCCCTGGGGAAGTATATTTTTCATGTCTCCCAAGTTCCTTTTTTTTTTTTTTTTTAACCTTCAGTGAATCGTTTGACCTCAGTAAGCCTATGTTTCTTTATCTGCAAAATAGGGATAATCATAGTATCTCAATGGGTTTTCGGGGGGAATAAAAGGGGATATGGAGATATGCACAGAGCTTGGCCCAGAGCAAGGGTCTATGGATGTTAGTTATTATTATTGTTGTTGTTGTTGATTAACTACCAAGGACTGTGTCAGAAACTCTTTCCATTTGTAATAGAGTCAGGGAGGGCCGGGGCCAAAGTGACACTGAAGGTACCAAGATGGACTCTTTCATTAGGGGGAACAGGAATTAGGGTTCTTCCAGTGACCTAACAGAGCATCCTTACTGCCTGCAGGGAGACGGTGTGATTTTGAGGCTAAGGCATGGAAAGGTGGCTTAGGAGATAGAGCTGCAGGTTCCAATCCCAGCAATGTTACTTCCTATTGCTGTGACCTTGGGCCTGTTATTTTCTCTCTCTGGTCTGGGTTTCTTCATCCAGAAATGAGATTGACAAAAAACTACCTTGCAGAGCTCTTATGAGGGTTATACAAGATTAAGGATGTCAAATGGGCTGGCTCAGAGTGAGTGCTGGAAAAGGGCACAGGCTTCATTAATACAATTATTAATAGAGTAATTGTCAGAACAAGGGCCTGCGTCAGGTAGTTTGAAAGCTGTCTCTGAGCCAAGTGAGGAAGGCCATTAAAAGAAGGAACTGAGGGAGTTCCCTGGTGGCGCAGTGGTTAAGAATCCGCCTGCCAATGCAGGGGACACGAGTTCGAGCCCTGGTCTGGGAGGATCCCACATGCCGCGGAGCAACTAAGCCCATGTGCCACAACTACTGAGCCCACATGCCACAACTACTGAAGCCCACGTGCCTAGAGCCCATGCTCCGCAACAAAGAGAGGCCACCACAATGAGAAGCCTGTGCACTGCAACGAAGAGTAGCCCCCGCTCGCTGCAACTAGGGAAAGCCCGCACGCAGCAATGAAGACCCAATGCAGCCAAAATAAATAAATTTAATAAATTTAAAAAAAAAAAAAAGGAGCTGAATGACAAAGGACCTCCTCTAGTACCCTCTTTGTGGCCAGCTAAGACAAGCCACCCAGCTGCTTAGAGAGAAGATGTGGTATCAAAACTTAACTCAGGACAGGCATGACTTGGGGGCAACTCTTGGCACTGGGTCTTGGAAAACTATTTTAAGAATAGTCTTTCTGTTCCTTACCCTAAATTTGGGAAGAAACACCTCTTGTAGATGAGGCAAAGAGGGAAAAAACCCATAGCTCTGTCCCATCCCCTTTCTTCAACTATAGAGACATCTCTTCTGATTTGAGTAGGCTAGCCCAATTCCCAACTGCTTTGTACGTAAGAGGGTCAAGGTATTTAATGCGTGAGTGAATGACTCTCCAGCCTCTGCACTTCAGTTTCTTGGTTCCTATAGCTTAGATGAAGGAGAGGGACCATATGGTTCGGATCCTAACGGATTCAAGTGCACTAGGCCTGTGTGCCTAGAATGATGGCTTGTGTATATTACTTACTCCTGCCCAGCCAAGTCACTCCCTACTGCTCTCTGAGAGGGCTTGGGAGTCCCTGTGGCCTTTCTCTGGGTCCTGGGGAAGGGGAAGAGAAGGTCAGTTTGTGGTTGAGATCAATCGTAGATGATAGGAATCACTTGGTGTCAGTTCGTAGGTTTTGCAGAAGCAACATTGGCACTTTCAACCTCTGTCTAGAGCCCAGTAAACAATGGACAAAGTATCTTCTCATTATCTTCATAGCAACCTGCGAAACTTAGCATTATCTTGCCCCATTTTAGAGACAAGGAAACAGGTTCAAGAAAGGGGAAGTAGCTTGCCCAAAGGTCACAGTGTAAGTAAATGGCAGGACTGTGATGTGGTGTGTCTGTCTCCAAACAACCTGCCAGTGCCACACCATACTGGCCGGTGGAAAGTCACAGAAGCGCGTTTCCTATCTGTCAGAAGCATCCACAAAGCACTTCTCAGGTTACGACCCAGCTTTCCCCAAGTGTCTTAACACTGGGCTGCCATCCAAGTTCAAATGCTGGTGATAGGACTGATCAGGGCCCAAAGCCAGCCTCCCTCCTAATCAGGAATAATCAGCAATGGGTTTATCCTTCTCATCCCTCTGATCCTATTATTCCATTCCAGAACTCTAAGCGTGGCTTCTGGAGGCCCAGGGGCTGCTGCCACAGTGCATACTGATGGGGAGGCGGGGCCGTGGGATGTGCTTTACTCCTTAGGGAAGCCCCCACCATTCAGCCCTCTGTGAAATTTTCTGCCAAAGGTCAAGCCATCTGCCTCCTCAAGATCAGTAGTTACTCCTGTCACACAGAACCACCACACACCCCATCTGCTCAACCTAAAATAGATTAAGCAAGCTCTGGGTTGGAATCCTGAATCCCTGGCTGCCCTTAAGCCTCAAGCTGGTGTCAGCACCCTCTTCGCTAAAGGATGGGATTTCTTCCAAGTGCGTGGACTTTTCCACAAGGGCCTGGTTTTGCTGTCTCCTGGTCTCCTTGTCTCTAAGGACAGAGGCGTATCCCAAGGTCGACAAATGTGTGCTGTGCTCTGCACTGGCCTGCGGGGGGCAGGAGCCACCAGGTCTGAGCCTGTGGGTGCCCTGCTGAGTGAATGGAGGCCCTGCTGGGCCCTTTAGGACCAACATCGCCACCGGGCAGGGGAAGGGGTGACTTCTATGTGCCTGGAACTGTGCCAAGCCCTTTGCATGTATTATTAACTCCTCACAAGAGTCCTATGAAGGAAGCGTTATTAGAGTACCCACTTTATAAATACAGAAACTGAGGCTCAGAAAGATTAAGAAGTCCTCAAGGTCACATGGTTGGTAGGCAGGTGGGCAAGATTTGAATGCAGGTCTGTCCGACTCTGTATGCTGAGCTCTTTACCTCTAGATCAGTGGTTCTCAACACTGGCTGCAGGTTAGAATTACCTGGAGTATTAAACAACACCAGCGTCCGGGGCTCACCTGCACCTACTCCATCAGCATCTCTGGGGAAGGTCCCTAGTGATCCTAGTCTGCAGCCAGCATTCAGAGCCCCTGCTTCGCACTGTGCCGCCTTTGCATGTATCCACCCATTTAGTTCATACGAATTGGATTTGTACCTGGAGCCTAGCTCATCTCCCCTCTGGGGTCCGCGGTGAGACCTAGCTTTTCAAAAAAGTCTGCAGATGGTCAGTGTTCTACATTTCGTCTACAAGTCTTTCCTGATCCCTCCACACTAAGTCAGATCCCTGTCTCACATTCTCAAGAGTGTTTGTGTTTCTCCTTCATAGCATTTACCTGAACTGAGATTAAGTATGTTGATAGCCCTTTAATATCTCCTGCCCGCCTGCCAGAATGTGAGCTCCCTGAAAGCAGGGACCGTGTGTATCTCGTTCCCACAACTTTCCCAGAGCCAAGCACATGGGACAAATGATACTTCCTTCTTCCGTTTTAATAATTCCTTATCCAGTACCTGTCCTGTGCCACGCACTTTCCCCGCACGCACCGTATCACCAGGCGAGGGAACTGAGGGCTGCCATGTGAGCACTCCGGAGCCGCGCAGCCAGGACTCAGTCCCAGACCTCCAGATCCTTCCCATCCATCTGAGTCCGTTGCTCTTCCCACGACCCTGCCTTCAGGCTCTGTTTCCGAGGAACAGGTCTTTGAAGAAGGCATTTTTGTTGGCTCTTCCCGTACCAGCTCCCCGGCAGCATCTTCACCCCCTTTCCTGCCCTTTTAAGTGTCAACAGCGCCCCCCCCAGCCCCCCCCAGGCTCCTCCTTCTGGCCTCCAGAGGCCGGAACCAGGCTGCTGAGAGACTCCCCGACTAAAATAAACCATTCCATCGTCGTCAGCGCCACGGTCCTCAAAAGCTATCCAGGGACCTCCCTCCCCAGCTCCCTGGGAGCTGGCCTGTGGCACCTTCTGGGCAGCGTCCCCACCCATCTTCCCCTAACGGGAGCTCTGACCAGCCACCCAAAACTGGACAAAAATTCCTGCGAGAGGAGCCCCTCTGGACTGAAACTCTCAGCCTTGTGTGTAAAGGGTTTTGCTTCAGGGCCTGGGAAGAGCTCGGCTTCCCAGCCTAGCTCTGGTGCCCCCTGCTGGGAAAAGCCGGGTGCAGGGAAACGGGGACACTTCCTCTCCTGGGTCGTCTGGCTGGGGCTGTAGGTCGCAGAGGTGACATCTGAGGCTTGAGATGAATTCACATCAAAGCTGGAAGCTGGAGGGACGAGGACGTGCCAGTTACCTAAAAAGTTTCATTCATGGGACCTTGAAGACCGCTTTGCAAAGGGCGGCCTCTCTGCACCCCCAAGGAAACCGGTGAAAGATCCTCTATGGGGATCAGGCAGAGGATTAGGAGGTTTGTCGCCCTCGCTTGCTCACGGCCGCCCGCCGTGCCAGCACTGCCTCCATCAGGACCCCCTCAGGGCCGGCTCTTGATTTCCCTTGGGTCGGAGAGAGCGCGCACAGTGAAGGGAGCCGAAGGAGCTGCGTCGGCTCAGCTGTGCTTCCAGCCCTGGAGCCTCATCCCGTTTCGGTGAGGAGGCAAGTGTGAAAAATGGAGCGTGATGGAGACTCGTCACAAGATCTCCCAGGGCCTCACTGGAGCTGCCTGCTCTCAATCCAGCTGCGATGGCGGGCGTGATTAAGATGCGTGTTTGTCCCTGAGCGCCTGTGTGTGTGTGTGTGTGTGTGTGTGTGTGTGAATGCACACATGAGGTTGGAAGCTGGGAGGCACCCTGGCTTTGGGGGCCCAAACTAGCCTGCTTCCCCTTCTGGGTTTGCTGGCCTAATTCCTAGCTGCAGCTGCCATTCTGGGCTCCCCTCCCCGAGGCAATCTCCCTGCAGATTTGACAGCCAGAGAGGAGGGGCCGAGGGAAGGGGAATGGACTGGGGAGAGGCCTCAGCTGTAATCTGATGTAGATGATCCGGCAGCCTTCTCCAGCTCAGCTGCCCTTTGCCGTCAGCTCTCTGGGCGATTTCCTCTGTGCCTGCACTCTCCCCTCCTACCTTCATCTCCTTAAGAAAGTGTCCAGAAAGTTAAACCCACACACATGAACACACACAATCTACAAAAAAAAAAAAAAAAAAAATCTGGGAACAGGAGCAGGCAGACAAGTGAGAGAGCACGCGCGCAAGAGAGAGGACTCAGATCGGTCTTGGAGGAAGACGGCGCAGGCAGAGGGAGGCTAGGGTTGGTGGGGACCCAGACTAAGGTCTCTTAGCCCCCAGGAGCCTCCTTCATGGACCCGGGGATCCTGAGAGGGGCTGCCTCAGCTTAGGATGGGCAACTGTGTCAAGTCTCCACTGAGAAATCTCTCAAGGAAGGTATGTTTCTGGAGTGATCAGGGCCCAAAGCCTGGGGCGGGGGATTGGAGCATCTTGCCCTCTGCCCCAGAAGTTGGGGGCAGAGAGGGTGGGCATCTGAAGCTTGCTACCCTTCCCGTGGGTTCTGTCTAGAGCTGCTTCCCTGTTTCTACCTCCAGATTCCCTTCTATCACAGTTTTCTATGTCCCAGGCTCTGAGCTGAAGTTGGGACTTTAAGCTGCATGGGGCGCTGTGTTTGGGAATTTGTGCAAGATTTAGGAAAGAAACCACGTAGCTCCATGAAAAGCGTGGATCTTTAGGATGTGAGTGGACAGACCCCCCTTGGAGCCAACAGGATCAGAAGAGGGTTGAGCTGGGCTTTGACCCTGCTGCTGCTGGTTCCTTCCCGGCATTAGGATGGGGGCTCATTCATTTCCTTTGAGCGTCTCTGAGCCTCTCTGGTGGTCTCTAAGCCTTCAGAGCTGTGGGTTTTGAAGTAGATCGTCTTGCTCCTGAGAGGAACCAAGCCAGGTGTCCCCTTCTACCCTTGATAATTCTTGAGTCAGGTCAGAGACTCACAGCTAGAACCAGACTGGTTTGGGGCCCCAGGGTTGTTTCCATCGAGAAACAGAGTGTACAGCAAAGGCGTCTGTAAGTTGCTTTCTGTAGTGGATGTATTGCTTACACACCACAATAATATCCTTTTGCAAGAATCCTTTTAGGAAAGCAAATAATCACCTCCAAAGCATCTTTCCTGCAAACCTGGGCTTATATCTGTAAGGTCTTGCTTTAAGTGGGCGCTGCCTGTATCTCTAGCCCTCTGTAGTCAGGCCATAGAAGAAACTCATAGATATTACTTAAAGGAAGAAGTAATGTGAGGGATGTTTTCCTCCAAATTATTTTATTTACCAGACGAGGAACTTGATTGCCACTCAGGTTAAGTAACTAACCCAAGGTCTCAGGTTAGCTAATGGCTTCTCTACCCCCAGCCCCATTCTATCTCCTCTGTTAGTTTGACAGCCTCTCCATTTAGGACATTTCAGGCTTTTCTGCTCATCATCTTCCTCATTTAGCTAAGCTGCTCACATCAAATTCCTTTTAATCTTCACTGTTCCTTGGATCCTTCTGAGGGTTGACTGTTTCTTCTGTGCACACACCCCCCAGTCATCTGTCATCTTAAAGGAGAGTCTTTTGCATCAGAGGTGGCCTCCACACTGTTGCAGAGAAGCAGAAACAGATCTGAATTAGTTTAGAGGACCACAGGGCGAAGGCCTTTTCCCTGGGGTTCTGTCCAGAGTTTAAAGAGGTGAACTAAAGAACAAGTATTGTCCTTCTGTCCTACCCAACCCATCTTCCCTTATACAGCAGAGTGCTTAAGACTCAGACTTCTCAGGTCTCCTCTTTCTAGCCATATGACCTTGGATAAGTTACTTGACCCCTCTGGGTCTCAGTTCCTTTGTCCATCAAGTGGAAATACTAACATCTACCTCCAAAGGTGATTTTGGGGGCTAAGGAAAGAGCTGGGAATGCTGCCTGGAATATAGTACTCAGTAAATGTTAGCTAGTGTTATTAGCTTTTCCACTCTGGGTTTTCTGAGAAGGGGGATGGAAGTAAAAAGGGAAATAGGAGAGGTTTTGCATCCATGGAGTAGGGCAAAAGATCATAAAACGTATTGCATTCAATTTCATGTATTTGTATAATAGTAATCATTGCTTCTTCCTGAATATCTACAAGATCTCCAACACCTGTTATCTCATTTGCTCTTTTCCACCCAGTAGTTCTCTTGGCTATTTTCTAGAGAAAGGAGCTGGACTCAGAGATAAGAGCGTTACTAAGATCCCACAGCCAACCAGAAGCAGAGCTCAGATGTAAACCCTGGTCTGTGTAAATCCAGAGCTGGTATTTTTTGGGGTTTTTTTGAATTTTATTTATTTATTTATTTATACAGAAGGTTCTTATTAGTTATCTATTTTATACATATTAGTATACATATGTCAAGCCCAATCTGGTATTTTGTTTTTATTTTTGCCTCTGTGAGAGGCTGCCTCTCTCTTTTTCCTGCTGTCAGAGATGTTATTCATAGAGTCACGAACCTGACCTTACAGGTCATCTTAGCCCAAATTCCCACTCACTGGGCAATGCTCTCGCCCACCTCACCAAGTGCTTGCTCACTCAACTTCTCCTTGAATACCTTCAGTGAGAAGGAGCTTGTGCTTGTCGAGCTTGTGTTGTTAGAGAGCTGTTAGGTCATGAGTCGTGCCAGCCCCTCCTGTTGCCCTGCCACACTCAGGAGACGTCCCCTCAGTGCCAGGAAACATTGTCAGCCTGTGGGCCGCTGCCCACTTGGCTTCCTAAGTAGTAGCTGGGAATTGGTAATGGAAAGAGGAGGCCTCCTCCAGGCTCTGAGCAGGGCAGGACTGGGCTGTCAGGTACCATCACTGGCCAGGGAAGAACAGAAGCGTCCTGGGGCAACTTGGTGCCAGGCAGGGTTAAGATCAAGAGATGCAGTGGAAATTTCCCAGCCATCACTTGTTCCTCCTTCGTGGGAGCAAATGTTTCTCTGTCCTTCTCACTTCTTTCTTGATTGGCAAATATTCTCCCACTTCTTCTGCAGCCAGATGTAAATGCCTTCTGGCATCCAGCATCTCTTAAGTTGCATCATCATCATCATTGTCATCATCGTTGTCATCATCATTGTCATCACCATGGCAACCCCACATAGTCAGCCCTTACGCTGCTCTAGGCACTGTGCAATAGCCCATTTACCTCTCACAGAATTCTGTGAGTTGCCCTGATGGTACCCATTGGACAGAGAAGGAAACCAGAGCCCAGAGAGGTCAAGTGACCTGCCGAAGGTCACATAGCAAGCAAGCGGCAAGCCAGAATTTGTCCCCAAGACTGTTTGAGTCCAAAGCCAGTTATACTCAAGCTCCTCTCGGAATTCTGTGCTGCCTGCTGCCTCCTTCTGGGTGTGCTCATCCAAGCCAAGTGAGTGAGAATCAGCCAGAAGTGAAAAGGCTGATTCTCTGCCAACATCTCCTGAGATTGTTTCCTGGGGTTAAGCCACGGTCGACTCCTGGGCTCCCTCTGTCAGGAAGGGCTCTCTGGTCCTGCCCTGGCTCGAGACATGTCCCCGAAGCCTATGCGAGTGTGGCCGAGGCTCTGAACCTCTCCTGGTCATCAAACCAGAATGGACCCTGGTCATGTCTGACACCCCTCAAGTTCTAAGATTACCTAGGGTGACCCTTTTTTGCAGTCACTGGACTCAGGCCTTGGACTGAGGTCCTGCACCTCGGGTCTGAGTTGCTGCTTTCCCTTTGAGGAGCCAGAATATTGCTCCTTCATCTCTAGGCCTGGAAGAGGCTTAGGAAGTTGGAAGAGAGTCTAGACTATAGCTCCACAGTGTGGGGCTCCGGGGAGGAGGACCACGAGGACAGGGTGAGATGGGGGAGGTTGCTCTGCTTGTCCCCCTAGGAGGACAGGCTACCTGTTAGGTCGTGGGATCTTCTCCTGGGCGTGGCCTTCCTTGAGCTGGAGGAAACTGTTAGAAAGCGGGTACAGCAGGATGGACGGGCAGGGCATGCAGCTCTGGCGTTCTTGGACAAAGACAGCCCTCTAAGTTTCCACCACTCTCTCTTTCCTTGGAAAGTTTGGCTCCAAATCCCCACGCCGGGGGGTGGGGAGGCATCAAGCTCAGGGCTGAAGGCAGACTGCCCTAACCTGGATTCTGGGGGCGATGCTGGGCATCCTGGCCGGGAGGCTGGGGTGGAAGAGAATATTGTGTCTGGCTGCTGCTGTTGCCCTAAGGGGACGGTCTGTGGGCAGTGTTGACTTTTTATAGCTGCATGGGAAACATCAGGGAAGAGGGTGGGCTGGCCGTGGCCTGGGAGCCCAGCTATATTCCACCAGCAGAGAGGGCCCCTGCCTCAGCCTCTAGAGGTCCTGCAGGCTGGGCTGGGCAGGGTGCCAGTGAAGGCGGGAGGGACGAGGAGAATTGCTGGTGGTAGAGAGCGTCTAGTCTCGAGGCCACACACTAGGTGGAATCTGACCCACAGATGTGCTTTGTTTAGCCCACCTGGTGCTTTAAATCAGAAGATCTGGCAACACAGGGCTGGAGTTACATAACGCTGTCCCTTCAAAGGGGACACACAGCATCCGTTTTGCCCCAGGCCCCGCCTCTCACACCTGCCTGCTTCATCTCTGTTCACTGCGGCACCTGTGTCTGCAGCCTCCGGTCTCGCAGGCTAGCTGAGCCTCTGCTCTTTGTGTCACCAGTTCTGATGGTTCTCACTGCCTTCCAGTGGGTTCCAGTGGGGGTAGGGTCAGAGGTCAGTCGGGGAGCTTAGCCCCGGGAATTGCGCTGGGACATTGGGAGCATCTTGGGAAAGGACATTATTCCCTGAATGAACAGAAGCCTCCCTCTGCCTGCTTCTCTCTCTGAGCTTCTGCATGCACACGAGTGTGTGGTTCTGTGCACGTGTGTGTGTATGTGTGTTTGTGTCTGCACATGGGCCACACAGAGGGTATCAGACCCAGCTCTCCCTGGAGCATCCGTTTTGGCCAAGGATCGGGGAATCCACCTGTTGGACCAGTTTGATGCCTGCCCCAGAGCATCCTGAGGGCTTTCTGCACCCTGCTGTTTGCCTCGCAAGGTCTGCTCTTGAGAAGGGCCCCTTCTAGGACCAGGAGCCAGGCTGGGGCCAGGAGGACCCAGCTGGGCAGGGAGGTGATGCCCCGCCTCTCTTTTGTATTTGCTTGGTGCTGGCTGAAGATGCGTCAGGAGGAGACCAGCTATACGGTGGTGCAGACGAGTGAGGAGGGGCTGGCGGCCAGCGGCGAGCTCCCCGGACCGCTCCTGATGCTGGCCCAGAACTGCGCCGTCATGCACAACCTGCTGGGCCCGGCCTGCATTTTCCTGCGTAAGGGCTTCGCGGAGAACAGGCAGCCTGTACGTAAGTTGGCCCCGGTGGAGCCGCGCTCGACTTGGCTTCACAGGGCGTGAGGAAGGAGGTGCTGGGAAGAAGAGGGGGCTCTGTACTCAGCAGTGCGCGTCCCCCAATGGATATACCTCAAACCCGCAACTTGTGAATCTGACCCCCAAAGTTTCCCACTGATGGCTGCAAAGCCCTGGTGAGTCCACATCCACCAGCAAGGAATAATAGCAGCTAATATTGCTTGGGTGTTTTGTTTTGTTTTGTTTTGTTTGAGCACTTACTATGTGCCAGGCACTGTGCTAAGTGCATTGGCTCATCACCTCCCTTAAGCCTCAGAGCAACTCCAAGAGGTAGGTACTATTATCCTCCCCATTTTACAGATGAGGAAACTGAGTTGGAGAGGTAACATGCTCAAGGTAACATCTGGTGGGTGATAGAGGTGGGATTCAGATTCAGGGATACTGGCTCAAAGACCTCCTGTGCTCTGAACAACAGTACTGAATACGCGGCACCATCCAGTAGAACTTTCTGTGGAAACACTGTCCAATTTGCGCTGCCTTCCCTCTACAGTAGCCACTAGCCACATGTGGCCACCGAGCCCTTGAAATGTGGCTAGTGCAACTGAGGAAGTGAATTATTAATTTTCTTTGATTCCAATTCCAATTTAAATAGTCACATGTGGCCACTGCTTTGGACGGCCTCCCATGGGTATCTGAACAGTCACAGAGAGGAGGGTATTAATAGTGATGTTACAGATTCAAACATCAGTAGGTTTAAATGCCTTGTTAAACACTTTACGCATCTTGCCTCACAGATGCTCACAAAGGCCGTGTAAGGTGAGTACTGGTATTAACCCATTTTACAGATAAGGAGACTGTGGCGCACACAGTTGAAGGGACCTGCCCAAGATCCTACATCTAGGAAGCAGCAGATCTGGGCTTTGCCCTTGAGTCTGTCTGACTCTAGAGGCCAAGCTCGTCCCTCGACTGCTTAAGTTGAGGAGTGAGGGGTGTGGTGGGCTCCATTCCCACCTGACCCCCCAAATTGGTGCTCATGGTTTCTCTGCCCCATCGGTGGGCATCCCCGGCTCTACTACACATCCTCCCGCCGCTCTGCCCTGGGGAGTGTATGATTCAGGGACCAGCCAGCAGGACTCAGTTGGACCAGCTCCGGCCATGGGCACACTGCCAAGGGGTACCCAGCTTTTTTGCTCCCTGGCTCTGGGTTTATAAGAAGTAGGGTGGGGGCTGCAGAGCTGGGTCCTGGAGATGTGAGAGGCTACTTGAGGCCTGCAGGGTGGGAAAGGTTGTGTCACTTGTCCCAGTGAGCATACTCTGCACGTGTGACTGCATGCATATAGTCGCTGACACTTTCACTTACTGGGGGTCCCGGGCATTGTAAAAGACATTCTTTTTGGTCACCCAAGATCCCAGTCTGACTTGGAGCCGCTAGTGGGTGATAGAGGTAGGATTAGGTAGGTATTAGAGGGCGTGACAACCCCTCCCTGTGCACAGTGACAGGTTTTTAAAGTGGAAGTCCTTACGATTATTTCACAGAAACAGACACCTTCAGGTGAGTCCTACCTTCAGCTAAAAATGCCGCTAGCAGGACCTGGTAGCCTGCAGCCTACTCGTTCCAGGCTCACGTACACTCTCAGCACTGTCCTACCATGTACGGCCACTTCTGAGAGCCGGGTCCTTCCTGCGCAGCTGATGGTCCCACAAAATGTTGCTCAGCAGCCCCTTTCTAGAAGATTCTCAGATTTTCCAGCACTGGGGTCCCTTGCCCTGGGGCCAGTTTGGAGCAGGTGGGCAGCAGCCTCTCACCCGCCCTGGCCCTATTGGCTAGAACAGCCTGTGTGCACTGCTGAGATGCCTCACGCTCACTGTGGCCCGCTCGCTGTGGCACACGCATGTGTCTGTGTTCGCGATCGGTGTGCCCACACCTGGTGTGCACTTCCTCAGGGCGGGCACACCCTGCCCGTGTTCTCCCTGCCCAAAGGCAGACAGCTGTGACATATGGAGAGGATGAGCCCCGTGGACCAGTTTTGGAGCCTGCTAAGCATGTCCATCTGGGCACCGCATCCATTTCATGCCAGTCTGTCTCCCTCCTGGGCAGGCCTGGGGCGACTGACACCTCACCAGCCGGAGCCTGCCCCCTGCTTCCTCTGGGCCTGCTCTTTGGAGACTTCTCTGCCATCTGTTCAGATGCCTCGTCCCAGGGCTTCCTTGACTCCCCAAGGAGAGCTGGGCACTGTTTGAGGCTGCAGACGTGAGCTTTGGACCCTGGCAGCCGCCAGAGGCACTGGCAGCCCCCAGGGTCCTATGCTGTGTCCTGTGACAGGGCGAGGTATAGGATGGGGGTCCAACTGGAGAAGGTGGGGCTGTGCCCAGGAAGCAGGGCACAGCCTCATCCTGCCTCCACTCACTCGGCTCTTCCTCCGCCTCCTGTTCCTCCCTCTTGGGTGCCTGTCTGGGCCCCCACTTCCCCCCCTCTGGCCCCTCGCTTCTCCCATTGCTTTACAGGCCTCTTCTCCCCTGCTCTTCCTGGTTTCTTTGGGTAGAGCCCTCTTCTTTCTGTTGTGACCTCCCGCTAACCCCGTTTTATTTACAGATTTTGGCCTCCAGACCAGCTCTGTTCGCTGACACATTCTTGTGTCTGGAATAAGGGGCTGGGGGTCCAGAGGTTCTGTACCCAGGCTGGAGAGGGCTCCTACTTCCCTGGGCATCTCCCATGTCTGTGGGACAGGTGGGGCTGCATCCTTTCCCCTCCAGGACATGGTCCAGGCACGCCTCCGCTGCTGCCCCATCACCTCCCGCCCAGTGCCTGCTGCCACTGGGATGGCTGTCAGCTGGGCCATGTACGACTTCTGGGCCCCTTGCAGCTGCTAATAGGACATGTTCTTTTGTTTCAGGACAGATCACTGCGGCCAGAGGAGATTGAAGGTAAGGACTGGCCCCTTAGGGGAGAGGGTTGCTCAGCCATCCAGAAAGATGAGAGGAAGGTGGGTGGGAAGAGAGGCAGAGATATCTCGGCCTCCTGCAAACGGGGCCTGGTGCAGAGCCAGGCATCCTCTGTGGAGCCAGGCGTTGGAGGAATGCAAGAGTCAGCAGGCCCTCGGGCTGCCTCTGCCCCAGAGACTCTGCAGGTCATCCCCCCACCCCCCACCCCACCGTCCACAACCAACCCTCCCCCCGCTTCCCCAGAGCTCCGGGAGGCCTTCAGAGAGTTTGACAAAGACAAGGACGGCTACATCAACTGCCGGGACCTGGGCAACTGCATGCGCACCATGGGCTACATGCCTACCGAGATGGAGCTTATCGAGCTGTCTCAGCAGATCAACATGAACCGTGAGTCCCTCCACCGGGTACCTCCTTCCCTCCCCAGCCTCGCCCTTGCCGTCCTCTGCCTGGGTTCAAGTTCTTGGCCCACCTCTTCCCAGCTCTGTGGCCTGGGGCAAACTACTCTCTCTGTGCCTCGATTTCCTCACCTGTAAAATGAGGGGTGGAATAGAGGGAGTAGAGCACAGGAAGTCAATTGGGGGTATGTTTATTTCTTTATTATTTTTTCATGGTTTATTTATTCATTTATTTTTATTTCTGGTAACAGCTTTATTGAGATATAATTCATAGACCATATGATTGACTCACTTAAATATGCACTTCAGTGGCTTCTAGTATATTTAAAGTTGTGCAACCATCACCACAACCAATTTCAGAATATTTTCATGGCCCCCAAAAGAAACCCTGTATCACTTTGCCATTACCCCCAAGTCCCTCCCCAGCCCTAGGCAATTACTAATCTACTTTCTGTCTAAGCAGATTTGCCTTTTCTGGAAGTTTCTTTTTTATTTTTATTGAAGTATGCTTGATTTATAATATTATATTAGTTTCAGGTGTACAACATAGTGATTCAAAAATTTTTATATATTATACTCTATTTAAAGTTATTATAAGATATTGGCTCTATTCCCTGTGCTGTATACTATATCCTTGTGGCTTATTTATTTTATACATAGTAGTTGACATCCCTTAATCCCCTGCCCCTATCTCACCCCTCCTCCCACTTCTCTCTCCCCACTGGTGACCACTAGTTTGTTTCTGTATCTGTGAGTCTGTTTTTCTTTTTTGGACGTACTTAAAACAGCCAAATACCTGACACACAGTAAGAGGTGAACAGAGGATGCCATTATTATGTTTTTCTCTGTCTTCATTTTCATTCTCCCAGGAGCAGACCGGGAGACAGGGGTTTGAGTGCGGTAGTTTACTCCATAGGGGCAGGACGGCATCGGTAGGGGGTAGGGAGATGAGAGGGCGGAGACGAGGAGCCAAGGCAGGAGGCGCTGGAGCAGCTGCCACTGTGGGTGATGGAGTCTAGTTCTGCCGGGAGCTCGGGAAGCTGGCATAGCAGGCCCACCTCGGAGTTGTCCCCAGCCCTTACCTCTCAGGCTGGGTATTTATCCCCCAAACTCAGTCACTGGCTGAAAGTGCTGTGAGCAGACCCCGGGGGGCAGGTCCCCTGTATTTCTCCCCACTGAGGGCCGCTTGGAAGATGAGTTCTATTTGCACAACGAGGGAAAGGCGGGGGCAGGTGGGCCAGGTGCCCACAGCTTCTGCTTCTCTCTCTGCTTTTCTGCATGTGTGTCTCTGTCTCTCCTTCTCTGAAATTCTTTGCCTGTCTCTGTGACCTAATAATTCTTTCTCCCCTCCGTATCCACCCCTGTCAACTTCCTGACTTGTTCCTTTAGTCAAACTCCAGCCACTCCCCTGAGCCATTCTGTGACAATCCCCGGTCCATGGTCACCTCTCTGTCCTCATTTGGCCTTTGCTTATACCCTGGGCCTGGAGCTGGGCAGGTCAAGGAGGGTTGGCAGTTCCCTCAGTTGCCTAGTTGGAGATGGGCAGTGGTTAAATTTTTATTTTTTTAAATATATATTTATTTATTTATTGGCTGCGCCACGTGGCACGCGGGATCTTAGTTCCCCGACCAGGGATCGAACCCGTGCCCCCTGCAGTGGACGTGCAGAGTCTTAACCACTGGACTGCCAGGGAAGTCCCAGATGGGCAGTGGTTAGATGGATGATCCAGCCTGTTCCTCTGTCCCCAGTGGGTGGCCATGTGGATTTTGATGACTTTGTGGAGCTAATGGGACCTAAACTCCTGGCGGAGACGGCAGATATGATTGGAGTAAAGGAACTGCGAGATGCCTTCCGAGAGGTGAGTGATGGGCAGTGGACAGGCAGGGGCGGGGAGCTTGTTAGAATTCCAACCTGGGACGGAAATGTGAGCTCTGGATCCCAAACCAGGGGAAGGAGCTTGGACAGAGAAGGGATCCGGGGAAGGCGGGACAGTGGTGCTGGAGAAGGGGCTCAACCTTGGGATCTGCTTCCAACAGTCTCCATGTTGTAGCTACTCCTCCCTCCTTCCTGCCCTCTCTAGTTTGACACCAATGGTGATGGGGAGATAAGTACCAGTGAGTTACGAGAGGCCATGAGGAAACTCCTGGGTCATCAGGTGGGACACCGAGACATAGAGGAAATTATCCGAGATGTGGACCTCAATGGGGATGGACGAGTGGACTTTGAAGGTAGGTGGAAGTGGTTTTGAGAGTGGAAGAGAAACCAGGGCAGTAGTGGGCATCCATAGAGCCCTCCACGTGTGTATCCATGATGCAATCATCAGTGCACTCCAACTTTCCATCCCCCTACCCTTCCATCCTGCCACCCCTTTAATCTGCCTTCCATCCCTACACCCATCCATCCATCCAACAATCTGTCCATCTTTCCATATCTATCTTTCCATCTTTTCATCCATCTATCTCTTTATCTGTCCAGGTGCCTATTTACCCACTCACCCATGTGTAAACAATTATCCATAGAACCATTTATCTATGGCCTTATCTATCCATCCATGCACCTATTCATTCTCTACATTCACCCATGCATCCATCCATGCATCCATCTACCCATGTACCTCTCTCCATCTATCCATGCATCTCTACCTCTCAACATTCATTCATACATTTATATATCTCTACTCATCTGCCTATATTTCTACCCATACTTCCACTGATCTGTCCATCAGTCTGTACAGTCATTTTCCCATCTCTATCCATGTACTCATCCATCCATCCATCCCTGTGTCCATCTGCCCCCATCCATCTCTCTCCATCTATCTGTCCACCTACTCCTGCATCCATCCATGTAGGTATTTTCTGAATACCACATTCCTCAACCTGACACTCAGGCCCCCTAAAATCTCTCCACGGCTCACCTCTCTGGCCATAGCTCCTACCATTCCTTCACTCACACTCCACCTTAAAGCCATAGGTGGTCCATGAACCTCCTAAGCTGTCATTTGAATACGTTGTTCTTTTTGTCAGGATGCCTTTTGTCCTATTCTTCGCTGGTCCTAAATTCTATTCGTCCTTCAAGACCCAGCAGTGGGGCCACTCCCTCAAACACTGCTTTCCTCATTCCCCAGATTGAACTTCCTTTTTTCTGGGCTTTCACAACACCTCAGGCTCACCCTCATTCTTCACACTGGCCCCTAAATGCTAGTTATATCTCTGCTTGACTCTGAACTTTTGGAGAAGAGGAACCCCACTTTCTTTATCTCTGTCATTCCCACAGAACTCAGTACCGGACACATAATGAACGCTCAGTAAAAGTGTTTTTAAAATAACCAATAATAATCATAATAGTGATCATCTATAACTGTACACTTATTGTATACCAGTCATTGTACTAAGTAGCTTTACACATATTATCTCATTTAATTTTCATGATGACTCTAGGGACTGCACATTATTACCTCATGTTATAGATGAGGAAACTGAGGCTCAGAGAAGAAGTAATATAACTTGTTAACTGGTAAGAGGCAGAGCTGGGTCATAAACTCAGGCCTGGAATCTCAACCACTACATACATTACACTGTACATGATACCATCCGAGGCACCATGGGATACGGGAAAAAAAAAACAACAGCAAAACATTGATTCTGCACTCCAGGAACGTGCATTCTGAGCAGAAAGGCAAGATAACCATGAGCAAGACTGTGAAAATGTCCAGAACACAAAGGCTGGGAGGCCTTTTCTGGGGAGTAGCTGGTCTTCAAGGTCAAAGAGAGTGTGGCAATGGAGAGAAGGCTTTGCTACCACGAGAGCTGAACATTTCAGGTCACCCCATGTCCAGGTAGTGACTCCCACAGATGCCAGCTCTTCCCTGAAAGCCCAGCATCCCCCATTCATTCTACCAGCGTGTGTTGTACACCTAGTGTGTGCTGAGACCTGATCCCTGCCTTGAGGAGCCCAAGACCAGCAAGGAGAGCCGAAGCCAGCAGTATAGTCCATGATGTTTGGGGGAAGTACAGCAGGCTGTGGGGCACAGTGGGGGCACCTTTGCCACGCTGGGAGGGGGGATTAGGGAAGACTTCCTGGAGGAGGCTATAAGTAAGTAGAACCTTAAGAGATAAGTAGGAGCCAGCAGGTGAAAAAGAAGGAAGAGATATTTACCCAAAGGAATTGAAAACTTATATCTACGCAAAAAACTGCAAACAGATTTGTTGTTTATAGTAGCTTTACTCATAATTGCCAAAAATTGGAAGCAACCAAGACGTCCTTCAGTAGGTGAATGGATAAATTAACTATGGTATATCCAGACAATGGAATATTATTCAGCGTTAAAAAGAAATGAGCTATCAAGTGATAAAAAGACATGGAAGAACCTTAAATGTGTAGTAAGTGAAAGCAGCCAGTCTGAAAAGGCTACATACTTTGTGATTTCAACGATATGACATTCGGAAAAGACAAAACTGCGGAGACGGTGAAAAGATCAGTGGTTGCCAGGGGTTGTGAGGAGAGGGAGGGATGAAGATGGGGAACACAGAGAATTTTTAGAGCAACAAAACTATTCTGTATGATAGTACAATAGGGATACATGTCATTATACATTTGTCCAAACCCACAGAACGTCCAACACCAAGGATGAATCCTAATGTAACCGTGGACTTGGGGTGATAATGACGTGTCAGCGTGGCTTTATTGACTGTAACCAATGTCCTACTCTGCTGCAGGATGTTGACGATGGAGGAGACCGTGCGTGTGTATGGCAGGCAGGGAGCGTATGGGAAATCTGTACTTTCTGCTTAATTTTGCTGTGAACCTAAACCTGGTCTAAAAAATGAAGTCTAGTTAAAAGAGAAGGAGCAGGGATAGGCTGCAGGAAAGCTGAGAGGTGAACAGGAGGGGCGTGTGTTGGTTGCCCCTGAGGCGCTGACAGGGAGCTCTGTGGAGTCAGAGCTTAGTGGTTGGAGGTGAGTGGTGACAGGTGAGGCTGGAGATGTCAGCTAGGGCCAGAACAGGGAGGCCCTGGGGTCGTGTCAGGATCCAGCACGTTACCCAGTGGGGACCATGAGAGGTTTAAGAGGGGTCAGATACGCAGATAGAAAGCTCCTGCTAGCTGCTGTGTAGACGGTGGATTGGAAGATGCTGGATGGGGGAAATTCTCCGGCCGTCCAGTGGTTAGGATTCCGCGCTCCCACTGCAGGGGGCGCGGTTGGATCCCTGGTGGGGGAACTAAGATCCCGCATGCCGTGTGGCGCTGGCAAAAAAAAAAAAAGAAGATGCTGGGTGGACGTTGGGGACCAGCATCGGTCAGGGGCCGCGGCAATAGACACGGGGCCACCGATCCGAGGGAGGTTTGGAGGCAGCGTCCTGGGCCCTGACTGCTGCTTTCTCCCCACCCCCTCCTGTGCACCCCACCGCAGAGTTTGTCCGGATGATGTCCCGCTGAGGCCGCCAGGGCCCCTCCAGGACTGCCAAGCTCCACGGGCGGGGAGAAGAGGAGCCGGAGCTCGCCTCATCCCGCCGCCGCCGCCGCCGCCGCCCAGAGCCCGGGACGTACTGGCGGATGGGGCCTGCCTGCACCCCGGGGAGGTGCCCACCCCGGACCCCCGCCCCTCCGCACTGTGAAAGACTCACGACTCCTGCAACTGGAAAGGGGGGCGCCCGCCGACGAGGAGGCCACCGCGCCAGGCCGGCGGAAGTCAGGCCGGGCGCCAAGTGCCATAGACCCAGTCGCTGCTGGCTGGGGGCGCCCCACACAGCATGTCTGCCCCCCGGGGCAGAGCCTCTCGCCGCCCTCCTTAGCTCTGTGCCCGTCCCCCCTCGCCTCAGCCCTGTTATCTCAGAACCAATAAAAATATTTCCAAGAGAAAGGCGGCCGTGGGGGGGGGTCTTTGCTTCTCCAGCCTGGTTAGATGACACACGCGTTTCCTGAGTACCAGCTGCGCGCCCAGAACTGGGTGAACCTCCCTGCCCTCGACTTGTACTGAGTTCCCATTAGGCACCCAGCCTCTTCCACCTTTGACTGAAAGGGAGACTGGGGCATATAGTGATGTAGCTGGATTTGCTGCTACCCCAAACAAGGTCAAGTTCTATAAGGAAAGGAGACTGGATATTGGTTGGGTAAGCATCTAGCAGGGTCTGCCTCACTTCCTGCCTCCCTGGAGATTTCACACTGGTCGAGATAATCACATCCATATGTGATTACGAATTGTGATCCTGCTTTTAAGGAAAAATGCAGGGACCTTTGGTGGGGTAGGATAAGGAGGCCTGGACTACTCTCTGGGGAGATCAGGAGAGGCTTTCCTGAGGAAGTGATAACAAGGTTTTTGCACTGGAGGAAATCCCAGTGTGTGTGAGGACACGAATGTATTAGAATGGAATCAGCTGCCAGACTCTCTGCTGAGTGAGAAGCAGGATGGTATAGTCGTTAGATCCTGGATTTACTTGCTGTGTGACTTTGGACCAGTCACGTCTCCTCTCTGAACCTCAGTTTCCTCATGTGCAATAAGGGGATAATAAAGGATAATAAAGTCTACAGTAAATGATCTCAGGGTATTGCATTGCCCACCTCCAGGGGCTGTGAAATTGTGCAAAGTGGCATTATTAAACAGGATCCATTGTAATCATTGTAATTAATTTCTATAAGCCAAGGGCTGAAGGAATCCAAAGGAGAAGTTTGTGGGTAGAAGTCGCCCAGAATCTTTGACAGGCTTGCGGCATAATCGGACAGGTGTGTGGGGTGGACCCATGTTCTCCAAGCCAGTGGTTCTCAAACTTGAGTATTTTCATCAGAATCGCTTGGAGGGTTTGTTAGCCCCGCCCCCAGACCTGGGCCCCACCCAGTGATTCAGATTCAGTAAATTTGCATCTCTAACAAGTTCCAGGGCATGCTTGATGTTCTCAGGACCTCAATTTGAATAACACTGCTGTAAATCCCAGACTCAAGGGAGGCAGGTGTGCTGTGGGCTAAAGGCTGGAAGCAGAATGTAGGTGGAGGATTCGTGCTCTCAGATCTTGCAGGGAAGGACTGTGGGCACCCCCGGGCACCCCCCCCTCCCCGCCAAAGGCCTGGGTAATCCCCGTGTCCCAGAGGCTAGGGTGTCTGGGAGCTCCAAATTCATTTGAATAATCCAATTCTGAGACTAAGCCCTTGGCTCTGTGCCCCAGTAGGCAGGCCTGCAGCCCTGCCTGCTCCTGTACCTAGCTCTGCCCAAAGACCCCCAGATCTACACTGTTTCAGAAATCCAGTGACCTTGGAGGGCCAGAGGAGCCATTTGTAGAAAGGGGGCTTCTGGGGGCATCTGTGTCAGCTGACAGGATGAGCCCTTGGGGGCACCACAGGGAGAGGGTAGAGTTAGGGTGTCAGCTAGGACACTTCTGTCCTCAGTATTGTGGCCTCCTAAAATCATAGACAAGGCAGCTGTGATAAAGCGACTTGAGAAGATGACAGGCCACTGTTCAGAGGAGCGCTCAAGTCAAGGGGAGGCCCAGAGGTGGGGCTGCTGCCTTCGCCAATGCTGAAACTAGTGCTTCTCCCCTTGAATTTGTCTTATATCTAGGGGTTCCTAATAAGATTATTTGAAGAAAAGTTTCTCTTACTTTCCAAGAACTGAGACCCATTTTCCGAGATGGACCCTATCCCAGGTAGGAATTCTTTCTGCATCTTCACCCCTGGGTGGGTGGGTGTCATCTTAGAAGAGTTCTCCTTGTCTGTAAGGTCTTAAACTGGGCCTGGATTTGCCTCCTTGTGACTTGTAAAGTGCAACTCATTCACTCATTCATTCATGCATTCAACCACTGTTTATTGAGCACCTACTATGTGCCAGGTCCTGTGCCAGGGCCCCTGTCTTCTAGGAGCTCAGACTGGAAGGGGAAATGGATAAGAAAATAGACAAGGCTAATGTAGTGGTATAAGTGCTATAGTTACTAGGTTACTTATGAGGTTAGCCTAGGAGAAGTGAGGGTACTAAAACATACCCACCCAATCTAGTGGGGTGGAAGGGACAGGTTTGCTAGGACCTGAAGGCTCAGCCGTGCTCAGTCAGAGGAAGTGAGGGGAAGAGTGTTTCCGGTTGAAGGAACAGCAGAAGCAAAGACCTGGAGGTAAGGGAGAGTGTGGCTCCTTTGGGAAACGAAGCAGAATTCCACTTGTCTGGTGTACTGGGCTGGAGGGAGGAGCAGAGATGAGGCTGGTCAGAGAGGCAAGGCCTGACCCCACCGCAGACCTTGGAGGGTAGAGCGGCTCAGGTGGGACTTCTTTTTTGTGTGTGTGTTTTATTTTATTATTATTATTTTTTTTTGTGGTATGCGGGCCTCTCACTGTTGTGGCCTCTCCCGTTGCGGGGCACAGGCTCCGGACATGCAGGCCCAGCGGCCATGGCTCACGGGCCCAGCTGCTCCGCGGCATGTGGGATCTTCCTGGACTGGGGTACGAACCCATGTCCCCTGCATCGGCAGGTGGACTCTCAACCACTGCACCACCAGGGAAGCCGTGTATTTTATTTTATTTATTTTTTATACAGCAGGTTTTTTTTTTTTTTTAACCTTTATTTATTTATTTGTGGCTGCATTGGGTCTTTGTTGCTGCACACGGGCTTTCTCTAGTTGCGGCGAGCGGGGACTACTCTCCGTTGCAGTGCGCGGGCTTCTCATTGCGGTGGCTTTTCCTGTTGCGGAGCACGGGCTCTAGGCGTGCAGGCTTCAGTAGTTGTGGCACGCAGACTCAGTAGTTGTGGCTTGCGGGCTCCAGAGCTCAGGCTCAGCAGTGTTGACGCACGGGCTTAGTTGCTCCGCAGCATGTGGGATCTTCCCAGACCAGGGCTCGAATCCGTGTCCCCTGCATTGGCAGGCAGATTCTTAACCACTGCGCCAACAGGGAAGTCCCAGGTATCAAGGTTTTTTAAAAAACGGGCCTGAATAGGGACTTCCCTGGCAGTTCAGTGGTTAGGACTCCATGCTTCCACTGCAGGGGGCATGGGTTTGATCCCTGGTTGGGGAACTAAGATCCTGGATCCCACATGCCACGTGGCATGGCCACAAACAAACAAAAATGGGTCTGAATAAATGACAGTGTCTAGAGATGTGCACTCCAGTGGAACAAAAAAACATAAAGAAACACAAGGGAATTATTCCTATAAAAATCTGAATAGGGACCTCCCTGGCAGCTCAGTGGTTAAGTCTCTGAGCTTCCAATAGCAGGGGCGTGGGTTCGATCCCCTGGTCAGGGAACTAAGGTCCCACATGCCTGTGCAGCCAAACAAAAAACAAAAAACAAAAAGTCTGAACAGTGGTTCCTTTTAGGGAGAGAGAGGGAGAGGGCTGGGATTGGGATGGGGCACAGAGAGGGGAGTTTCTGGGGAGTCTGGCAAAGTTCTATTTTTTTTTTGGCCACACCATGCGGCTTGTGGAAGGCTTGTGGGATCTTAGTTCCCCAACTAGGGATTGCACCGAGGGCCATGGCAATGAAAACACCGAGTCCTAACCACTGGACTGCCAGGGAACTCCCAAAGTTCTATTTATTGATCCATGTGGTAGTTACAAGGGTGTTTGCCTCTCGCTAAGTTGTACATTTATTCTGTATGTTTTTCTGTTTGTCTTATTTTGCAATAAAAAGGGTTTTTTTATTGTTTTTTTTTTTAAAGTGTGAACTCAGGAGTCAGCCACCTGGTTTCAAATCTCAGCTCTGCCACTTATAAGCTATGTCGTCTTGGGTGAGTTATAAGACCCTCTGGGCCTCAGTTTCCTCATCTGCAAAATGGGGATGAGGTTACAGGGTTCTTTTGAAAACGAAACAAGCTAGTATACTTGAAGCCCTTGGAATGGTGCCTGGCACGTAGTAATCCTGATACAGGTTTTTGCTATTTTTATGATTATTGCATTGTTATTCCCTATTTCCCTATCCCTTCTCCCATGTGTCTTCATGCCTCCGTGATCCCCTCTCAAGGAAAGGGGAAGGGAGAGCCAGCCTTGGCATTCTTTAATAACTGTGGCTGAACCTCTCATTGACAGTGACAAGATAATCACAGCTTAAGTCTGGGACCTGGCTCTATGACCAGGGAGTGACGATCTGCACAGTATGGTCCTGCAAAGAGGCCCTGATGCTGTTGGCTGTGCCTGTGGCTTAGGCTGCAGGGCCAGAATGTCCCTTCACCCCTCTGGAGGTGCCTGCCACCTGCTCCAATGATCTTACTGATGTCTGTCTTTCCTCGAAAGAGGACAAAGGGGCTGAGTTTCATGATCAAGGGATGGGCTTTGGTGGTAACATGAACTTGATTTCTAACCCATCTCTGCCACTTAGAGAAGTTAAGGGATATAGGTATTAAGGGAGTCCCTCTTCTTCTTTGAGCCTGGTTATCCATTATTAATGATAATAATTGCACATACCTGGGGGGCTGTGGAGAAATAATCCATGCATAATGCTTAATAGAAGGCCTGGCTCAGGGCCTTCACACATGCTGTTCCCTCTGCCTGGAATGCTTTTCCCTGCATTCATTGAGTAGCTGTTGGATCTTTCTCATTTCTTGGGGCTGGGCTTGAATGTTTCCTTGGCTTCCCTATTGAAGGAAGGAAGGAAGCCACTGCCACATCTCATTTATATTCTTTAGAGCATATATGTAATTTCTGGCCTAATACATTTATTATATTACTTTTTTTTAATCGTTTGATGCCCCCTGCCCTTCACTGGAATGTAAGTTCCATGTTGGCAGAGACCACATCTACCTTGTTCACTGCAGTATCTCCAGTGTCTAGTAGGTACTCAGCAATTATTTACTGAACAAATGAACAAAATCCACAAAAAGCCTGGGGGTGCAGAGGGTGGCAGCCATCTGTGACCACTGCCGTCGGGTGCAGGAAGGGCTCCAGGCCCCATTCCTGGTGGCTTCCTGACCTCAGGTCTCACTCTGTTCCAATGTTGGATCTTTGGGGACCATGTCTTTGTGTTACAGGGGTCTCAAAGTCACAGGCAGTGCCATGGAACCAGAAAACAGACAAAGGATTGGGAGTTGGGCAGACCTAGATGCTAGGCTTTGATGATCAATCATTAACAATCTCTGGGACCTTAAGTCAGTTGCTGAAGCTTTAGTTTTCTCAACTGTAATACCATCCAGTATGGTAGCCACTCACCACATGTGGCTATTTAAATTTAAGTGAATTCAAATTCAGTAAAAATTTAGTTCCCTGGTCGTACCAGCCACATCTCACAAGTTCAATAGCCACGTGTGGCAGGTGGCTGCTGTACTAGATGTGCAGATATGGCACATTTCCATCATGGTGGAAAGTTCAAGTCTAAAGGGACAGCTGACAAGTAACCTGGCGTGCAAGCACTGGCTATTGTATTTCTTCTTGCTTCCCTAATTTGCCCAGGTCAAGGGGAGAGAATGGAAAGGATACAGCAGCTGCTTTATTTATTTATGTGGTGTTGTTGGGTATGTGTTAAGTCCCTTTCATTTATCATCTCACTCCATCTATACAACCACCCTATTTTACAGATGAGGAAACTGGGGTTCAGAGAGGGGTTGTGACTTGCCAAGACCGTCCCTGGTGTTCCTGACTCCAAAAAATTGTGTCCTTATCGTAAGAGTCTGGGAGATAATAAGAACAGCTAATATATAGGGAGTGCTGACGATGGCTGTGTAAGTTAC